GAGTTGAAGTCCACAGGACTTCAAGTCTCCAAGGGTTGAGAAACACTGATCTACAGGACAGTGGTATCTGAATGTGCTCTTCCCTTTTCTTCTAATAGGGTTTTTAGAAGCACGACCACACCCTTCCACCATATATGTTTGGCCATTCTATCCACCTCTTCATGAAAATCAAATATTCCAAATTCTCCATACCTGCACAGAGCTGAACGGGAAGCCAAAAAAAAAAAAAAAAGCATTTTAGGAAGGAATTACAAAGAATTTGCAGCACACAATAAATAAAGCTCTTACATTAGCCTCGGTGACCCCAGTGGCTGCTCGGACTTTGTCGAAGTTTTCAGAGGCCGTGAGCACAGCCTGTTTGGTTTTCAAGATGTTTGATTTCTTAAACTGAGGTTCTCTAAGCAGATCTTCAGTTCCAAATGAGATACGATCCTTCTGGGAGTGCTGGAACACAGGAAATACACATGGGACATGAAAACTGTAGGCCAGCAAATAACTTGCATGACTTTTTTGATTCCACTTTTATATACAGTACATATCAAAGCATAGAATGGGGTAGTGGGAACCAAATTAATAATAAACACCTCAGTTTTCAGTGAAAAATACAAGACTATTTCTCGTCCTCTAGCATGACCTGAAATCTGTGAAGCACGCTTATTTTTTCAGATGGACGTTTTTCAGCTGTCCATTCAAAAGACAAATGGAAAGTTAAATTGGAGGGCATTGTTATTTGGAATAAGCTATGGATTTCCCCCCAAAGTGTTGAGGATTAGATGTTCGCACATTAGAATTGATTGGCGTCAAAGTTTTGTTGCTGTTAACGTTTTAATATTTTAATAGATTGAGTTTTATAGTTTTAAAATGATTTTATATATCTTTTAAGTTTTGATTGGGAGCCACTCAGAGTTGGTTGTGAGACAGGCTACCATATAAATGTTATAAATAAATAAATAGGTAGGTTGACTATGGCTCGGATCACATTATATTGTAAAATATAATATGGCTTGCTTGGTTTAATGTGCTACTTAATTCTAGCCACTATGATCTGAAAATTATAGGGTATGACAGGATAATGTGAGAACTCAGTACCATATTTTTCGGAGTAGAAGACGCACCTGAGTATAAGACGCACCAAGATTTTGAAGAGGCAAATTTTTTTTAAAAAGTAGATAGCTAGATAGAGGGATAGAGAGGGAGAGAAAGAGAGAGAAATATAATAGGTAGGTAGGGAGAGAGTAGGTAGGTAAGTAGGTAGGTAAAGGGATAGAGAGAGAGAGAAATAGAGAGAGAGAGAGAGAGAGAAATACAGTAGGTAGGTAGGTAGTGAGTAAGTGAGTGAGTGAGTGAGTATAGGTAGGTAGGTAGGTAGGTAGAGGGATAGAGAGAGAGAGAAATAGAGAGAGAGAGAGAGTGAGAAATACAGTAGATAGATAGGGAGAGAGAGTAGGTAGATAGGTAGATGTTTCCAGGTGTATTTATCCATGTGCTGGAGAAGGAAATTGCTGACAATCTACAGCACCCAAATTTGTTCATGCTGGCACAGCACTTGATCAATCTAATTCTCATCAATCAGTTAAAGAGCTTTCCCAAAAGGAAAAAAAAGTTTTTGCACTCTGCTAAACCTCCCCAAAACGGCNCCGGTGAGATTTGAACCGCTGACCTGCTGATCTAGCAGTAGCCTGCAGTGCTGCATTTAACCACTGCGCCACCTTGGCTCTTATATTTTGTAGATATTCTCCTTGTACACAGCCGACATCGTCAATTTATAATTCCCCCCCCCACAATTTTTCTCAATGCGCCAATTCAATGTTGTACCCAAAATGTTTAGCCCTGATCACCATGGTTTCCTTCAGTTTCCTCCTCCATTTTGAATTTTAAAAGGCATTTTAGTAAACATTTTTTTCTTCTGTCCCTGTTACTATTTTATCCAATTCTTGTTGCTCATTTTGAAACCCGTATTGTTCCAAATCCTCTTTGTATCTTGTTTGAATCTGTATGTATGGCCACCAGTCTATTTCAATTCCCTGCAATTTTAACTCTTGATTTGATTTTAGTTTCTCTTGCCCATCCAATAACTCTTTGTAGATCACTACAAAGTTCAAATCTTTGTAGTTCAAATCTATTACATTGGGATAAATCATTGCTTCCATGATTGATATCCACCTCGGAATTTTTGTATAAAAATTTATTCTAATTTTCATCCAAATCTCTAATAAGGCATCTCTCAACTGGTGTCTCTGAAATATATTTATGGGCTTTTCTTTCCCTCCCAGATAAAGGCATGCTAGCCCAGCTATAAATCATGGCCTTTTATTGTTAATATTCTTTTATTTTTGAGGATTATCCACTCTTACAGCTGCTGCCTGATAGTAGAGTTTATGATATATAAATATGTCACATCAGTTCATTGAAGATCTTGTAGGATAATAAAATAACAAGCCTCTGTTTGTTCCTGGGGTTTCTATTTACAGATTAGTCCTTTTTCTAATTTATCTCTTTAAAGAGTAAAACTTTTTTGGAACTCTTCTGGAACTCTTGTTTAAATAGATATTATAAATCCACTATAAGTCTGCCCTGTTTTCGTTAATAGTGTCTCTTTGATTGTTGTTTCTTCTTCTTTGAGTCCACTGTGTGTGATTACCCCCCCCCAAAGATGTCGTCTCCCTTCAATTTGGCAGTGACTGTCGCCATGATTCTGTCCAGCAAATGTTCTCTCCCCATATGCATACCACTCTCTATATTAAGCCACAGTTATCCAAAAACAGTTAGGTTTTCACCAAAAGCCCAGGCTCGCTCTTTCACTCACACCTCTCACGGGTTTTTTTTTCCTTTTTGATGTTTGTCAGCTCGTTGCCTCTGTTCCCACTGCCGGATTGCCATTTTTATTGCTTCTCCGAGATTTGCTCCTCCGCTAATATATCACAAAGTTTCCACGATCCCTGAGAGTTTTTCCCTTTCTGTCTCTTATATTCACC